CACCGCCCACACTCACGGGCGTCGATGGCGATGGCGATGCAGTCCAGGGTGGGGGGCAAGGGGCAGAGCTGGGCGCGGTCCATCGCCCGGAGGAGCCCGGTGCTGCCCAGCAGTGGGTTGGTGAAGGGCTGGATTGATTGCAAGCCCTCAGCCGATGTGTAGCAGAGGATGGACTCCATCAGCAGGAGCTCGTTGGTTTTCTTCTCCACGAGACCTGGGTGGGAGGGAGATCAGGATTAGACTCGATCATCTGAGAGGTCTTTTCCAGTCTAGGCTGTTCTGTGACTCTGAGCACCATCCCGCAGGGTCCCGGCACTGAGCCCCTGCCCAAGCCCACCCCCAGCTGTTTGCTGAGCAGGGATCCATTGATTTCCCAGGGCCATCAGGCAGCCTGTCTCCCCAGGGACCCAAGGCTGGATCCCACACCCATAGCCAAGATAAGGGCTTGAGGGTCCACTACGATATTTATTCAGGTTAACTCCTGAGTTTGCTGGGAATTTGGCAGCTCAGATTCACATTAGGAACATGATGGGGCAGAGGAGAAAAAAGCAGCTCAATTAAAACACACTACAAGAAGGTGGTGGACACACAAGGTCTGGGCCATGTGGTGAAGGAACATGGGCAAGTCCTGACCCACCGAAAAACTGCATCAGGTTCAGATCCGTGATCTGCCCGTTTTCTCCGATCCCTTTCATTATCTTTGTAGCATCACAGTTGGTTTCTTTAAACAGGGTCTCTGTGCTGGATATGAGCTGGCCCAGGACTTTGCTGCTCTCTTTACATTTGTCTTCATACCAGTTGGCCTCCTCAGTGGCTTCCACTAGTTTTTCCTATCAGCAAAGGTTTTGTTAGGTGTCACACCAGCCCCCTTGCTCTCCCTGTCACCCCAGTGCTGGCCAGTTCCAGTCTGGACACTGGTGACATCCCAGGAGAGGCTGTGGGATGCTCCCATCCCTGCAGGGAAAGGCTTTATGAAGGGGATCCCAAGCTCGCCATGCCACAGGCGAGGCCCTGGGTGCTGGAGGACCAGGGCTGGCAGGAGCCCTGCAGTCCCCCTCTCACCACGCACTGGGAGACAGGGCTGCCAAAGCTGATGGAGGGCCCTTTTCTGCCCATGGATCTCCAGCCGTTGGCCAGAGCAGTGTTAACAGGACCAGACTCCCTAGGACACATGCTGGGATAGACAAGGTCTGCTGCTCTAGCAGAAGGAAATCCCAGGCACCATACCTCCAGCTCCTGCAGGACATGAAAGATGCTGCTCTCTGCATAATCCTGGTCCATCATGAAGGCCTTAATTTCATTCTGTATAAACACAAGTACATGGAGGGGACACTGGCTGAATGGCCACCAGACGTGTCTAACAGAGGTTAAGGACCATCCCTCTGCCCTGGGAGCAGGGACATCCCACTTGACCCCTCTGGGGACCACTGTCGCCAGGTCAGGAGGACAGATGATGACCCCACAACAGGCAGCACTTCTCACTCCAGCCAGCCCACACATGGCCAAGGCAGCTCTTGGCCTTCCTGGACACTGCAGTATTTTTGCTGGGTACACGGTGGCAGCATTGAGACATTTTTCTCTCTGAGAAGGCAGCGTTCTCTCAACAAGAGTTATATTTTTGGCTACCTCTCTGCATTCCCCTGGTCCCACCCGTGGGGCAGGCTGTGAGGCAGAGTCTGGCATGGGCAGTGATGCTGGACACATGGGAGAGGAACAACCCACCTCAGCTCAAAAGCATCAGCTGAGAAAGGGGAGACATGAAGAGCCTGGAACAGACCTGGACATCCTCGATCCTCCGCTGCATCATCTCCATCTCGTTGTTCAGCTCGGTGGCATAGCTGAAGCAGGCAAAGTTCTTCCCCTCCTTTTCGATGAAGCCATTCATCAGCCGGTTGATGTCCCCGTCCTCTGCCAGCTCCAGCAGACGTTTGTAAGCCACCTCCCGGCTCTCAAAGCTCTCCCCTTGGCTTCGCTTCGCCCGCTGGGCTGCCTTCAAGGCTGAGGAAGAGATAGAGAACCTGGGCTGTGCGGGTCCCCAAGGGCACAGCCTTCCCCTGTGGGTGCTGTGGGCTTTGGCAGGGTGCTCAGGGCAGGGCGGGCAGGAGGTGTCTTTATTTCACTCAGAAACTAAGCAAGGACCTCACAGTTTGTATGGAAATGGGGCAAACACAGCGGGATCTCTCCCCAGGAGGATGAAAGGAGCCATGGTTGCACGTGGAGGCACCTTCCTACCTCCTCATCCCTCCCTCTCCCCCAAGGACACCCCAAGACACATAGCTTTGGTATCACTGGTTGGTTATCACTTGCTTATCACTGTTTGTCCTTTTCTTCTGCAGGGCAAAGGGTGGGTGAAGGAGCCTGCAGGCAGGGCAGGTGTCCTGCCTTTGGGCTGCAGTGCTATAAGCATCCCCCTTGCCAAACCTGCAGACTCCTGGTTTGAGGTCCCACCTGCACGTGGTTTCTCTCATCTGATACCTTTTTTCTTTTTGGCCTCTTTCTCCACTTCAGAGCGATCTGCAAATTTCATGAGCATGAAGGTTTTCAGTTTGGTCTCCTGGTCAAGGACACGGTCCCGTTCCTGCAGCTCGACGTTATACTGGATGGTGTCTTTGCTGTGCCTTTCATTCATGGCTGAAATCCTTTCCAGAGCCTCCATCCTGCACAGAGAGCAGCAGGTTACACCACGTGTAGGTACAAGGATTTTTGTCCCTGGCCATTCCCGTGCATCTCTGTGCCTGACCTAGCAAAGCCCCTGTGATGCTGGGCATGTTGCCTGGCTCTCAGCCAGATGCAGCTGTGTTAGCCCAAGGCCAGCACAAGCTAACACAGCTCTTGGTGGGGTTTTGGACTTGGACACAGCACCCAACCGTGGCAGCCAGGCTCACTTTGACCAGAGCTGCCTGGTCTTTGCTCCAGGTCTGCTGCATCCCCCCATGTGAGCTCAGGTGGGACTCAAAGGAAAGAAACTGTTCCATGGGGCAATTCACCCCATCCCAAGAAATATCTGGAACAGGTGGAGTAAATCCCCCTGGAGGTACCAGTCTGACCAGGAACCCAGCCCTCAGCACCCAGTCCTAGAGCCTCCCAGTCCTCTCTCTGAACTTGCAATCAGTCTCTCTTTACATCTCCTCATCACTGGCACTGCCCATCGGTGCTGAGTTTGCCCCAGAGGGTCTACAAGACCAGGTACCGCTGCTCGTAGGCTTGTGTGGATTGCTCAACGGCAGTGTTCATCCTTCTCCTCTGCTGATTCAGCTTCTTATGGAGCTTCAAGTAGACATTGTCCAAAATGGCTTTCTGGATTCGCAGGTTTTCAATCTCTTCTCGGAGTGTGTTATTTCTGGTCAAGATTGTATCGAAATGGACAGTGACCTGGGGAGAGGGAAGCAGATGGTTTGAAGCTGGTGCATAGAATCATAGAATCATAGAATGGTTTGGGTTGGAAGGGACCTTAAAGCTCATCCAGTTCCAACCCCCCTGCCAGCAGCAGGGACACCTTCCACTAGACCAGGTTGCTCAAAGCCTCATCCAACCTGGCCTTCAACACTTCCAGGGAGGGGGCATCCACAACTTCCTTGGGCAACCTGTTCCAGTGTCTGACCACCCTCACAGTGAAAAACTTCTTCCTAATATCTAATGACTGGGGAGGTTCAGGTCTCTGCTGAAAGACCTTAACCAGGGCTGAGACAAACACAGCCCAAGAGATTTTAAGTTGGCCCTGCACTATCCTCTTCCCCCAAGACAGGGGAGGCAACAGTAGGCCAGGCTGATCACGGCAGAGACCTGGAGCTGGCGTTGTCCAAGACAAGGTGGCTTCAGGCAGCTCGATTTTATCACTAAACAGGTGCAGACCTTCAGGCTTCTTGGCATGGCACAAACACTACATTTGGGTCACCAAGCTTGAAGGAGCCTTTGAGATATTCTGGGAGCAATCAGGCCAGGAGAACAAGCCAGGTTCTTCATGCAGCTTGTGTCAACCAAATGCATCCGCACCGTTACCCTTTGTCCTGCCCAAAAAGCATTTTGCACACAGGCTCCAGTGTGGCCCTGGACATGGTCTTCAAAGGTCTGCAAGATGTTTGCTTACGTTGTTTAGACGTATCTCCAGTGTCTCGATCTGTTTTTGCAGCCGTTCGGCACTGTTTGCTTGTTTCACCTTCACTGTGATCTTGTTTTGCCTCACAATCTTTTCTTCCAGCTCTAATATCTACACACACAGAGAGAGAATAAAAAAAAGAAAAAAGAAAAAAAGAAAAAAAAAGAAAGTACAATCTCCACCCCTACGTTCTGGACTCTTGTCAGGACACTTTGCCAAAGAAAATACCCTCTGTTGACCTGAACTACAGCAACCATGTCATTAATGAGCTCACAGTTGTAGAAGCAGCTTTAATCCCGAAGGATCCCATCTTGCAGATGCAGAAACATAAACTGTAACTAGGAACGGGTTTATTTTTGTGTCACAAAGGAAATGCAGCTGCGTCTGGAGGGAAATTCAGCAGGTGTTGAGCAAGGCACAGCAGCGCTCTGTGTAGAGTGGAAGAGGCAATGAGGATGGGGTTTTGGTAGTGCTATTGTGGTGGCCAGACAGGGATCTGTGCAGTCCTCCCTGGGAATGAGAGGAGGAAAACTTTTGCCAGAAGTAAGAAGCTTCCAGAGGAAATAAATCCATGAGAAGAATGAAGTAGTTGAAGAACAACGAAGCAGGAGGCAAGTGAGAGAGATATGACTCAGCCAAGAGATCCCTGATTGAAAGCTAACCCTGTTGTGTGAAGTTCTGCAGCACCTCTAGCAGCTGTAAACTACCTGAGCACGTTCCCTGACCTGTCGGGGGCACCTTGTTCAGAGCAAAAAGCTGCAGGGACCTGTCACTTCTGTCATGCTGGGTTTCCCTTGGCCTCCCACCCCACTGTTGACCAAATCCAAGCAGGCTGTCCTCAGGAGAAGTGATGGGACATCCCCCAGATGTTGCTGCTCCTCTATTTGCCATGTCTCAGACAGCAAAACTAAATGTTGCATTTTTGCCTTTTTTTTTCTTTTTCAGAAGAGAAAAAAAAAATCAAAGGAAAAGCAGAGGGATGTTGCATGACCCCAGGCAGGTCTGTGCTACCAAAACAGAGCTGCAGACACTGGTGGGACAACAAGGTTGGGAGTCAGACTGTACTTTTCAAGGCCAGTGCTGCTGGGATGGGAGTCTGGCTCTATCCTTTTGTCATTGTCACGTGTCTTCTGCCAGGAGGCAGCACGATATTTCAAAACCTGAATTAAACACATTTTACATCGAGGAGTTTCAGCCACAGGGCTCCCTCTGTGACTCTGCTCTGCTCTGCCATCCTCAGCCAGGGAACGGTCCAGATGCTCTTACCTGGTTGTCCAGGTCAGTTAACAAGGCTTTTCTGTCTTGAATCAGAGAACTGTACTGCTGTTTGGTCTGCAAAAGGCACTGGACCTCCAGACAATTTCTGTCATCCAGCATCGCATTTCTCAGGGACGTGATCTGGCTCAGCATTAACAACACCTCTGCATGTTCTTGCGACAGCGACTCTATTTCTTTTCTGTACAAACAGGACAAATGACATGTAGCACATCCCACCTGCAACGCCAGGGCAGGTCCTTACCTCTCTCCATCTCAGCGCCGGGGTCCCCAGATCTCAGCTTGGAGGACCTTCCTGTTGCACTCACTCCTGAGCCTGTTTTTGCTGCTTCACTTTGGCACCATAAGATTTCCTCTTCTCCGCTGCTATCCGGAACTGCTTCTGCAGCCTCCTGACCTCAGCTTCAGCCAGCTTTTCTTTCTCCTTCGCAGACAAGTCCGAAAACTTCTGCTTCCAAGAGGGACCTCTCCGCTGCTTCAGAGAGGGAGAGTTTGGTCACTTGAGCAAACACAACCAACAGTGGTAGACAGTGGAGCTGGACACAGGGGAGCCCGTCAATGGCATTGTCACCTCCAGCTGTTTGTCACCACCTTAGGCTCTTCTCTGCCACCTAAAATATTCCTCATCACTCAAAACACTGAGCCACTCTTCTGATCCACTTCAGAGCAAAGTCTACCGGGTACTTTGCTCTGGGGTAACCCACCCCATGCTACCGCCACTCCCCGGGGCAAGGAGGTGTTAACAGCAACCAAAACCATTGCCTGCTGACCACAGCAGCTGAGCCACAGCCAGCACCTTAATTCCAGGACAGGGTGCAGACCACCAGCAACTGGGAGAGCAGGTGACGGTAGGTTGTCACCTCTTTTATCACCCAGAATGACTGCAAGGACCACGTGAGTCAGAACCAAACCTGCTTGTGCTGGGAATGTGAATGAACCCAGCTGACTTTGCTCAAGAGCAGAGCAGGAGTGCTCAAATCCCTGGCTGTGGGAAGGTGACTTCTAGTTGAGAAATTACCTAAGAGGTGAGCACTGAAGCTGTGGTGGTTAGATCCACCACTACCTGTGACCTCAACTGACCCATATTCCCCAATCCTGCCTCCCCCAAAACCCAAATCTCAGGCCATGGCCTCATCCCTGGCACAGAAGAACAGGCAGAACCAGCCCCACCACAACCCAGCACCTTGCTGGCACAAGACAGCCTGGTTCTCCAACCCCTGACCGGCTCACCACACCATGGCATTTATTTCTGCAGGTGAGATCCCCATGGCAGATCCTCCATAGCTCTTGTGGAGAAGTTCAGCTTTGATTTGTGCTTCAATTTTTACCTTTGAGCCCAACATTTCTTCCAGCTAATTCCTCCGCTTGCTCTGCGACGCCGTGGGGAGGGGATGAGGGATTCTCCGTGGGGCCAGGCCTGTTTTCCAAGGGGGGAAACTGAAAAACAACAACAATAACTTGGGTAAGGGGGTGGTTGTGTCCCTCTGCCCATCCCTCGGCACCCGCTTGCGTGTTTGGCACATGAGGAAACCATCACAGATGGCTGCGCGATGAATAAAAGGAGAGCATTTGTAGTGATGTCACCGCGAAACACGCTCCTCTTGTTGAGTTTATAAGCAGAGGAAGAACAGATGGTTTGAGTTATTCCACCCCTTTGGTACCTGGGTTTCCATAGAAATCCCAGTGAGGCCAGTCCCCTCCGTGCCAGTGGGCAGAGCCCCCAAGAAGCACGAGCAGGGGACATTGCCTGGATTCAGCCTCTGTCCCACTGCAGCCAGGGAGGGCAATGGGGCTGACCCCATAGCCCTCACCC